TATTATTATTTTTTTTTTTTTAATTTACAAAGTGGACCGATTTAATTTATATTCTAGCAACAACTATACATTAGAATACACGCTGGATAAGTTATAAAATGTTAATTTTTACGGATATAATTCCGTGTATTGACGTGCATATAGTGATAATACAGTTGTAGGTGCATGAAATTCGAAACATTTTTGCTTTGATAAACTAATACCGTACGTGAATTCATGTATAAGTATACAGGAAATATTATAAAAAAATATATATATATAACCTTATCAATAAATCTTTTGAACTCATCTTTAGTTATTAAAAAATTTCGAATATTTCTCACTTAAATTATTATTATTTTTTCTTTCCATAGGAAATGGATGTTACGTTTACTATTTTTCGGTTAGTTTTCATTCTAAATAAATAAAAAATGAAACTGTTCAGTTAAAGCAATTTAAGACTGTATTTTAATGTTTATATATATTAATATACGTACCGTGAATTACTTTAAATAATCAATTTAGTAGAACTGTGTAAAATATTCGGGTAAAAAGTAACTGTTACAGGGTTGCTAATTGCTGTAGAAGTCGTATTCATATCTTAATTATTTACAAACTCGTTCAATATACAAATTCGATACACGTTTCGTATTCAAAATTGCACATAGGAACAGTTAACCTACTTTTGGACCACCCTTTATATGATGTAATTACATTTTAAGCTTGCATCACTGCACGAGAGATAGAGAGAGGTTGTTTAAATTAATGTTTTTGACCTTTTACATTCAGTAAGCAGTTTTTTTCCACAACTGCTGACTGTTTTAACACGAAGTAATCATTCAGATAATCTGTAACAATGAAACTTTCACTGATATTTTTAATTTTCGAAGGTCAAATTCTGATTTTTGTATAATAAATAGGCGTGGAGATCAGAGATTTGAATGCATAGTTTATTTTTTTTTAAAGCTGTGAAACGAAATGGCATCGTTCCAATTCTTCATTTACAGTTTAAATCTGCCGGTTTGAATGTTTTTTATTAATTAAATAAGCGTTTACACGCATCCACCTCTCGATTTCATGGCGCATAACTGTTAAATGCTTCGTATTTAAGTGTTGGAAATTTTTAGGAACTTCAGTACATGACAGAACTTGAATGATCATTCAAGTTTTAATTAATGCATTTAATTGCCGCCATCATAATTTGTTTTATTTCCTAATCGGTGCCTCATCCAAGTGTTCTTGTGGGAAACGAGGAAAACGTTTTAAACTCGGTCAACGAACGAAAAACGAACAGGAATTTGGTCTTGACGTGTACAATGGTAGTGTTTTTAACCAAAAAATAAATAAATAGTCAAACAAAATTAATAAGGTAGTGGTTTTTTAGGATTTGTTGCATTTGTATTTCGTACTGGAAAGTTTGTTTCGTGGAATTTATTTACTGTATATAAAAAATAAAGCAAATGCCAAAATGATTGCATATTTAGATATGCAAAGAGATTAAATTATATATATATAAAATTATTTAACCAATATAACTAAATTTAATCTTAAAAATTTAACTGACTTGACTCATTTCTAAAGCACATTTAACTAGGCTCGCTTGTTCTAAAATGTTCTACATAAAATAATGGGTGATTGCTAATTTTCCTGTGATTTTTGTTATATAATTTCTTTATTATTCGCCTTGTATATAAATTTTAAAAAATTAGTAAAATTTTAAAAAATAATTAAAGATTTTCGTCTCCCTTTTTTATTGTTTTGCTGTATAGGTTTTGTTTTTTTTTTTCAATTATTTAGTTGCTCTTCCAGTCAGATAGCTTGTAAATTATAATGTTTTGAGCAATTTGCATGTCATTTTCGGGGATTGTCTTGGTTTTTTTCACTAAAATAAAATCAAACGAAGTATGTCCAGTTTGTTATTTACTAAATCTCCTTCAATTTATATCGTGTAAGTGACTATTCATAGCCAATTTTCTAGCGAGTTAATAATCGAAATTCAACAAGAACACGTTATAATTTATAATAGGAATGAATTGAATTAATTCTTCTTCCTTGTTTGGCTGTCTCCTCCGTCGGACATTCTCAGAATTTTGTACTTTTGTAAATAACTTAATATTTTTTTATATACTCATTAAGCAAACGTTGATATAGAACATAATTTTTTTTCTACAAATTATGACAACTTCTGATGTGACAGTCATTCAAATATTAATGAAAATTTAATTTGATATCCATTACAATTAATGTTTTCATCCGCATATAATTATTTTATTTATTTTTTTAAATTTATCTGGAAAACCAAGGTTCCACTTAATTCAGATAAAATCTCAATACAGTAAAACTTCAATTATTTCTCCCCCCTCTGTTAGACCCTAATCTGTAGCTTGTATAATCTTGAAAATTATTCTTATGTATATAGTGTGTTTCCCATTTTACTACCTGTTATCGTATACAATCCGCTTTATGACGGTTACCTAGAAACAAGTTAGATTATGAACTTGGGTAGTGTATTGTGTTTATATTTTTAAAAGAAATGAAGTATTTTTAAAATTGCAAGGATACACCTTAGTAACTAACAACACACATACTCTATTTTTAGAAAGTAGTTAAGAAAAAAAATGCTTTGTTTTCGTTCCTAATATCCTCTTGTATACTGTATATGTGTGCTGTAGATGTTAGAAATAACAGATGTAATATTAACAATTTGTTGGCATATAAGCTATAAAATTATAGTACCAGTCATATTATATTATTCCAATATAACATTTTTTTTTCACTAGATTGTAAAAAAGAAAAGTTTTTTTTTAAATATATAGAAATAGCATTTAACAAAATTGGTCTGAAGAACAAATTACAAGTTTGTAAATTGTAATTTTATCAGAATAATCGTATAATGCTGTAAAATTCTTGATAAAATCAGATAGTATTTTTTTTAATAGATATGATAAGGTCTTTCACAATGTTCGGTTTCCTATTGTTATAAAATTACTGAATACCTTTAACTTAGAATAAGAATAAACATCACTGTCTTTCCGCATGAAACGTTTACTTGAAGTTTTTAACTACAAGCAAGTGCATTCAACATTTCAAATTGTTGTCTTCAGGCAGAGCGAACTTGATATATTTTTCATAATAATAATAATAGCATAATAAACATTTCAAGTAAATGACTAATGCCGAAAGATTTAGTTTATTCTTATTATTATAAAAAGTATTTAGTAATTTTTTGCTAATTTAAATAATAATCTTTTAACTTTAGAATAAAAGTTCAGGAAATTTATTATGGGATAAATTTAATAAATATATACTTTTGTACTTGTATTATACATTATTTGTTAATGAATAATAAATAATTTCTGTTTTCAAAGCCACATAGATTTATGGTTGTGGATTAATTAATAACAGGATAAACTACAGTAGAGCGTCGTTTATCCGAATCAATTGGGGACTGGGGTCTTTCGGATAACCGATTATGAACGAAAAAAATATATTAACCTATCCCGTGTTGAAATTTTTTTCCGTTGCGTGTCGCTTCGCGTTGAATTTTCGTCGATGTTAAGCCTAATGTAAATTTTTTAAAATAATAATCATGGCTATTGTATCGTTAAAAATTATTAATTTATTTTCTACAAACAAAATAAATACATTGAAAAATATAAAAACAAAAAAATATATACTTTAGAAGTTAATCTAGTATCAAAAATGTTCGATTCAGCATGAGACACAGTCCTCAGAAAAACATCACACAAAAGTGCCGGTGCTGCCAGCTAGAACATACACATTAACGAAAAAAATATTGGAGTAGCCCAAGATATAGCCAAAGATTGCAGCACCACAGCACTAGCGAACATTTAAATTTGAGGACTGGAATTCTTTCGGATAATCGACGTTTCAGATAACTGACTTTCGGATAAACGACGCTCTACTGTATTTTAATTTAATAAAACTATTTACTATTAGTCTTAATAATTTGGCAATTATAAAAAATATATAACTGTTAATTAGAAAAAAAATAATTTATTACACTATTGCTTCAACAACTTTTTATGTGCATAGTAGTGATGTGCCGGATCGTTAAAAATGTATATCCACGGATACGGATCTCAACTTTCGTACTCAGTTGGCACCGGTGCATGTGTCCTTGGACCGATAGTTGATGCTTTGCGTTAGTAACGCGACGTGTTTTGACTTGCACTGCGCGTGTTTTTGTTTATAGTTAAGTGTGACACGGAATAGTGTAGATTACGTTTGTGTTTTTGGAGAGTGTTGAGTTAAAATAAAAACAATGTCGACAAGAAAGTTTAGTAGTGTAATATGGAAATATTTTACGATAGTAAATGAATTTTGCATGATAAAATTTTTGCAGTGTGAATGTGCCAAATATGTGATTTTAAGAAATAAAAAGTGATTTGAATTGAAGTTATTAGTATTTTATTGCTACCTATCTTTAAAATTTCATATCAGTAATGAAATTCATTAAGATAAAAGATCCACTAAAAAGTAACGGATACGGATCTTTTTTTCCTCCCTCGGATATCCGCGGATACGGATATCCAGCACATCACTAGTGCATAGTAAATTAAGTGCTGTTTTATTTTGTCAATGTGTCATACTATAAGGGACATGAGGATCATGGAAAGTCATGGAATTTAAAAGAAATTTGAGTAGGAACCCTGTAACTATCTCAAAGCCAGATTTTATATTAAAGCCAAATGATTACCAGATTGAATCTATGATTTAATCTGACAATTGTTTGGCATTAGAAATTACGTAAAGTTCAGGATAAAAGAATAAACAGAGCATTGAAACTTTTTTACTGTACATACATTCAAATGCTCTATTTATTCTTATCTGAGGATATCCACAATAAATTCAATTGATTTTTTTTAGTGTTTACGTAAATGTTAGAATTAGGCTATTATTTCATAATGTTGTTCACATAAATTATGGATTTATTTATTTTTAAAAATGTTAAACAATTACGAAAAATAAAATTTATATAATTTTCTTATTTTTAACAGAAAAATACCCTGAAATCAAGAATCTAATGGGTTACGATACAAGATTCAAATTTATAGTCCTCGGAATGGTTTTAACTCAGTTTTTCATGTTTTGGTTACTAAAGAATGCTTCAACCGTAACGATTTTTATATTAGCTTATTGTTTTGGCGGTGTCATCAATCACTCGCTTATGTTGGCTATTCACGAAATTGCTCATAATCTAGCTTTTGGTCATTCACGCCCTATGTTAAACAGAATATTTGGAATCTTCAGTAATTTGCCCATTGGTGTGCCAATGTCCATTGCATTTAAAAAATACCATCTGGAGCATCATCGTTATCAGGTCAGTTATACTTGAATTGAATTCCGTAGTGTGCTATATTATTTTAAAGAATGTTATTTCTCATAATGTATTTTAGTTTATAGATCAATTATACCAAAAACCTCATTCCATTCTAAAATTGTTGTCTATTATTTTTATTTTCAAATTAAATCTTACTGTTTTAATTCACGAGTTAAATATACAAAAATACATTCAATATGCAGGACCAAACTTGAATAGGGGGAATCGTAGGCGAACTCTTTGGCAAGGCTCCTAAAATATTTTTTATTCACTGTCGTGTGTAAATAGAAAATTAAATTTTTGTCAAAAGAAAGACATTTCGTATTTAAATAATTTAAAACCAAATGTGAATATCAACTATTATTCAATTGTTATTTAAGCGTGAGTCCCAAGTGAGTGTCCAACTTGCCCACGCCTGAGTGCAGCCCTGTCAAAAAAACATTAGCAATAATTATATTAAGTTTAGATTAATTAAACTACAATAAAAATAAAACTGGAATGATCTAGTCCGGGCCTGGCCAGCCCACGGGCCGCATGAGGCCCGTCACGTTAAATTGTGTGGCCCGCTAAGCAATATTATATATCTATTAAAACTTTTGTTTTCTATTATGTTTATAACAAAACAATTAAATAAATGAAAAATTGCATGTGTCATTGTTATAATGCGCAAGTGCTAGTACGAACTCTTTATATAACAATAAAATCTTATTCATTTTGTATTTGGTTTACTTTTTTAAAAGCATGTTTGCCTAAATTGTGGCCCACTGTAATGTTATGCGTGATCAAAGTGGTCCGCGAAACAGTTTGGGTTGACCAGGCCTGATCTAGTCAAACAATAATAAAAAATGATCATTTTTATATTTTCTGTTTAAAACAAAAGATCCATTAAACCTTGATTCGGGAAATTTATCATGCATGCATTTTTTGTATTTCACTAGTTGTTTCTCTCGTAAGCTATCGCAAATCTTTCAGTATAGATCATTATAAGTCTGATCGGTTTGGCCTTGACCTTCAATGTACTCATTTTCATCAATTGTAAACATCAGTCTAGAGAATCCAATAATCTTTTATGATAGCTAAAGGTTAAAGAATTAAATAACAACAATGTAATGTTTATCTTAGAGATTAAGTTACTTGCTGGTTTTTTAGCCAAATGGCAACAACTTTGCAAATTTGGCTATAAATTTTATTGCCTAATTTGCCAAAAAATAAACACAGAAGTAAAAAAAAAATGTATTGTCAAAGAAATTAAATTTGTAATATTTCGATAATAAACACTTATTTTGTAGTTTTTATTATTATTTTATGCAATCTCAATTTAACTAAACTTTGATTTTTGCTATAAGTTTTCTGGACCAATTAGCCAGGTTTATTTCAAATTAAAGTATTGGCTAACAAATTTTAATAGTAATTTCAAATATTTATTTATTGAAAACATTTTAAATTTAGTTGTTCTTACATAAATATTAAACAAAAAGTTTAAAACAACACAAATTTTGGTTAGGTTAAACTGAGATGGTTATTTTTATAACCTAATCAGAGTTCGAAGGTTGGTTGATTGCAATGTTAAAGATCATTGATGTGGATACAGCATATTTATTGCTTGAGGGATAAATGTCATTTTATAAATGATTAATGTCAGTAAGAATGTAGGTAGATTATGTTTAGTATTTATATAATCTTGTGATGTTTTCTTCCACAGCAAATAGCTTGTCGTGTCTTTCCTTTCAGCTAAAAATATTGAAGATTTTAGTTCATTGCCATTTGTTACTGTTCGCTTTCCTTTATATTTAAGCTGAAGTTTCAGAATAAGCTTAAATTAGAAACTTTATCAAAATTTATTTTAATGTAGATGAACCACAGAGTTTCGAAAGCTGCTCAGTTTATGTTTATAGTATTTTGTAATACTTGATAAATGAATTGCCACAGCTATATGTTAATTGTCATTTGCAGCTTTTCCATCAACTATAGCGATAGTTTGAATATAAATATGAAGTTACTACAGTATATTTCCATTGTTTATCTTTAATTATTTTAAAGAGATGTTGAAAGTGTGTATTTTATTTGAGTAAATATTATTCCATATAAAATATGAAAAATATTTATATAAGAAATAAATGTCTACTGTACATTATTAAAATAAAATAGAATGTATTACATACAATTCGTCATTTTTGTAATTTATTAGTCTCTACTATTTATGAATTTGTCAGTATGATGATGATATAAATGGAAATATTACTTGAAATTTTAAAAATTCTTAAAATTAACTTTTCTCTCATCATTTAGACAGTCACATTTCATACTTTTAAGTTGTAAAATTAACAAGAAAAACCAAAATAAAACCATATTTAAGAGATGTAAAAGAATATTTCTTAATATAAATGTCAATAACAATGTAGGTAAATTATATGTAGTATTTAGTAATTTTGTCATGTTTTCTCCACCACAAAAAGATTATCATGTCTTTCCTTTCAGCGAAAATATTGAGGAAGCTATTTTAAGCTAATAAATTTGATCTAGATAATTTATTTGCTATAAATTTTGTTCCATTTTATTTATATTCAAATTTGTTTTACCTGACAATGGCCAATAGATTTGGCTGTAAACGTTTGTTGTGTTTTATTAAATTTCTCAGTAACATAAGGTGTTGTGTACTGAATTACATTTTGCTGGGTTAGTTTATTTGAATAATCTGATTTATATGATTAAATTTTGTAAATAAATTTTAGTTTAAATTAATTAAACATATGAGAAAGTTTGAATTATTGAAAATATGATGACTTTTTAAATTTTATTTTGTGCAACATAGAAAATAATTAATTTCACATGAGAAATTAATATAGTGAAATGTATTGAAGCATTAGAAAATGCGATATAATTTAATTAAAATTTTTTTTTAACCAAATTTGCATTTTTGGAATGGCTCCAAGAGGACAGAGAATGTGTAATTTCATTTTATAAAATTTATTCAAGGGTGACTTTTGATTTCATAATTGCACTGATTTAAAATTCATGACACAAAATTAATCCCGCTCTTTTGAATTTGTCTAGACAGAAGTTACAGATTAAGTTAATAAGCTAATGCAATTTTACGTTTTTACTGTTGACAGTTAAAATTTAATCTTTGACTTATTTTATCAGATCTGTCCATTTTAAATATATATATATATCTTTTTAATAGATTGAAAATTAAATTTTATTGAGATGAATGATATCAAATTATACATTCCACTGTATAATTCACTATTAGAATTAATTTGAAGATAACATAAAATATGTAATAAGGTTTCAGTCTGACTTTTCACTGTTCTCAGTTATGATTATAAATAGCTTAATCATATCATATTTTATCATCTTTATTAGTAATAGTTACTGTCTTTATTATTGAGTTAGTACACACAGATAATTTAATTTCAGATTGACAATATTAAAATATGCTTATTTTCTATGTTACGGCTATTCGGGATCCTCAAACATTTTAACAGAATTTGTTACATGTAATATTTATAAAGTTTAACATTTTGTAGTTATGTAAGAAAATGATTTTTAGTATTACAGAATTGTTATGTAAATTATATAATACTTAACAAAATTTTTTTACACCTGAAAATAAATTTTTTTTCCTTTGACATGGTGCATACACAAACAAAATTCAAACCAATAAAACATCACAATTTTTATTTTTTACAGTTTTAACAAATATCCTATTTTTCTTTCAGTAGAAAAAATAACAGGATATTTGGTTAAAAACCTAAAAAAAATGTAAGCTATTGAATTAAAATATGAATTCTCTATTTTAAAACAAGGTATTTATATACAGTATTACTTTTCAAGAAAATGTTTCAATGTTTGTTTACAACCTAAATATACATAATATAATAAACGTATAGCTCACAATATATAATTTATACTTCAAGGCTATTAACAAATATTCCATCAGTCTGTATGTAAATTTTTAAAATAGGAAAGATTAAATCAATGCTAACATTTACGTTATAAAATAAATCCTACAAACCAACCGTATAGTACAAATATTTTTATTTAATCTATATTATCAAGACCTTCCAATCTATCAGTCTTTTAGATATGCATTGTCTTTATAGATTAATTTTGTCATTAGCTCAGAATAAAATATTAGGATAAAACCACAGTAAGTTTAAAATTCTTCAAATGCCTTTGATTTGAGTGTGTAGCACATATACATACACCCACACCTATAGGTGTGTATCAAATAGAATATTTTTAATTTATCTGACTTTCTTGAATTAATAATGTTAACATCTATTTTATGATTAAAAAGTTGTATAATTTTTTTACAAAAATTAGTTGATCAAAATAATAAAGGAAACAAATTTGTAAAACTTAATTAGTAAACTAGTATATTAATTAGTGTAACTTTTATTTTATAAAGAGTTTTTATAAAGCAACCTTTCCATCAAATTCACTAAACAAATTTATAAAGTAACTATGAAATAATTCTTCTTATTAATTTATCAACTAAACTATATGATAAGTTTAAAGTAAAAATATACTCTTTGAAAACAACAAAACAATTTATTTGAATGTTATTTTTGGCTATTCAGGGCAGTAGTATCAAACTATGGACTAATTTGGTCTGCGGAACACATTAATCTGGCCCAAACATATTTGACATATCACTTATAAATGATAGAAATAGGCCGACTTGGCCTGCTTACCTACAAATTAGGCACAGTTTGGTCCTCCAATCAAAGTTTGGCCACCAGTGGTTTAGGAGAATAATTACATATGTGTAATGTCATATTCAATGTCAAAAATAACATCGATTTTGCCAAGTGTAACAATTTTATAAATAAAACATGCTATATATATATATATAGCATGCACACAATTATCCTATTATATGTATATTATATGATATGATGTATTATTTATAAAATTATATTGTAATTCTAATTTAGTAACAGATATCTTGCTTATATTTTAAGATAATTGTTACAACAACGTTTAATTTTACAGGGAGATGACATATTGGACACAGATATTCCTTCAAGATTAGAAGCAAAATTATTTTGTAATACATTCACAAAATTCTTCTGGGTCATCCTACAACCATTCTTTTATGCATTTAGACCTTTCTTTGTTTCTCCAAAACCTCTCACCCTATTGGAAGTTATAAATACAATCATTCAGATTGCATTTGATGTTGTAATTTATTATCTTTGTGGTATGTAGATGTGAAATTATTTGCTTGTAAGAAGTCAGTATTGATTTTTTAGTTTGCTTAGTAACATTAATCTTAAAAAGTTATGAAATTAAATTTTTGTGCAATGTTTTCCCATATTTAGACCCTGGTTTTTTTGTGGCATGTGTATGTTAATAGAATAAGTTAAATTAAAATTACATATCCAATATATCTAGCAAAAATGTCTTTGTAGTTACAGAAATGTTTTAATATAATTGGTTGTATGCATTTTAATTCTTTATACCATTTGATTTCAGGGCCAAAAATATTATTTATCTATATGATTGGTGGATCTCTGATGGCAATGGGATTGCATCCCGTAGCAGGGCACTTCATTTCTGAGCACTACATGTTTAAGAAAGGATACGAAACTTATTCATATTATGGACCACTGAATTTTATAACATTCAATGTGGGATATCATATGGAACATCATGATTTTCCAAGTGTGCCAGGTTCTCGTCTTCCAGAGGTAAGTGTTTATTTGAATTTTATGAATGTAACTAAATTATAAAATAATAACAAACATATGTCAACAGGTTAAACGGATTGCTGCCGAATACTACGACGACCTGCCCCAGCACAATTCCTGGGTTAAAGTACTGTATGATTTTATCACTGATCCTGACATAGGTCCATATGCACGAATAAAAAGAAAGCACAAAGGATTAGACCACTGATGCTTTATTCCATGTGTAATCTTGAAACTATTCAGATGTTGGTGCAATGTATAATTGCCTCCAATTTTGACTATTAATAATACTTTGTGCTCCTTTCTTTTTCACCCAACATGCCAAATTATTTCAAACTTTCATTTTGGCATAAATCATACTCGTTCATAACACTGAGTGGGTTTATACAAAGTTTTATTTTTGATACAATTTGGAGAAACCAAAATTGCAACTAAAATATAATACATTTGAAGCATAATTTTCCAAAATTATTGGGCATTGACCCTAAATATATTGCTCAAGAAAAAAACAATGTGTATCAAAATTACCATTATATCAGTATTTCCAATGAAATTAATCAAATACAGGATAAGAAAGCAATCAAGTTTTGATACTAGTTGATGCCAATTTCTTATGTGATATTAAATTCTCTCTTAGTGCAGTGTGAGAATGACTAACGAAAAGGAGCTCAGATAATTAACTAACAGTCAAAATGAAATTTGATCCATTATGTATGAAAGTATTTATTTCCAAAAAATTATAAATAAAACTCTTTCCTCCTAAATTGATACTAAAATTTAAAAATTTTCTCTCTCAATACCTGAAATGATTTCATTATTTTGAAAAGCTAATATGAAGACATATCACTAATTTTCAAAGTATTTTCTTTACTAATAATTTTGTATGATTTCAGTTCAGTATACATAAAAATGAACTTTTAACTCATTTTCCTATACATATTTTACATTAACAAATGAAATGTTTCTTGTTTTTGTGGTATTTATTTTTCTACACACATCCTAGTATATTGTTTCTGACAAGAAAGAAAGAATTAGATATATGCCAGTTTTTCATGTTAGAAAAAAAAAACATCATCTGTTAGATTATGTAAAACTCTTGTAAAGAATTTAATGAAAACCTTTGATCTGTGTCAAAAAAGATCAGACCAACTGGGTGCATATCTTAATTACTTCAAAGTAACCTTAACGATTAACTAATTATTATTATTAAGGATTGGTAATTTCTACTATTTGAATGTTTAAAAATGAATTTTTCATGAACATGATTTGAATTTCTTTATCACATTTGTGATGTCGAAGAAATTTTAATAAGACTTGCAATTTAAATTTCTTGTATTTTCACTTTCTTCAAAAGATTTCAATGATGGTGGTAACTATTATTATTTTTTTCCTGTATGTTTTCCTTGTATTTTTGTCCTATTTGAGGGTAAAAATAAAAGACAATTCAGTCTGTAAGTACTATCACATACATGATCTGCTACTTAAAAGCATATCATTGTTAAATATGCTTTTAATTTCCTAATGAAGTTACTGTTAAATTTACATTATTGTTAAAACAGAATACATTATGGAAGTTTTTTAATTGATGAAACATAAATTAAAATAAAAACCAATTCATCCTTTTATTTAAAAAATAAACTTTAATCTATATTTACTTGCTTTGCCTTTCTAAATATTAAGTAAAAAATTTTATATTGCTTTTAAAAACTTTATTAACTTTGAAAGTAAGAGTTGATTTTTAATATTACATCTCATCTGACAATACCAAAAATATTTCATTTATTATTTATTTTTAGTGTTTCTTTACTTTGATTCTATTGGAATATCTTTTTGAATGATTCTTTCATCTCAGATCCGTGAACTCTCATGTTCCTGTTTTTGAGCAAGGTAAATTTTTAATTTCCTTTTTAATTATGTTGTTTTTTAATGTATAATTGTTTTATCTAGATTCATTTGTTTTTCTTATTTGCAAAATTTAGACAAATGTTAGCATTACTATAATATATTTACCAAAACAAAACTTTAAGTCAATTTCAGTTGTTACAAAATTGTAGACTGATATATTTGTCATTTCTCTAATAATGAGAGAACATCACTTTCATTTCTTTGAAAACAGATTTATTTCAATATAAATATTCTTATAGAGACATGAAATAACTTTAAAATACATTATAAAATTTCAAGCATGATTTTAGTGTTGATCGGATTTGAGTGAATGTTCAATTGGTGTGCTAATATTGCAATAAATCTGATTTCTTCTTTAAATGTACATAATTTAATTCAATAATGAAATTACAAATTGATATATTTCTAAGTTATATAGTTCAAATGGCAAATTTCTCTAAAGGTTACATGAAATAATTTTTTACAGAATATTGAAATGTTTTGTTTCATACTGTTGTTAGCCTTGTTAACTTTTATACAATATAAATTATCATGCTTCAATTTCCTATCTTAGTCTGAATATGTGAAGCATAATTTCTTTTTCCAAAAAAAAAAAAAAATCTAAGCTAGATGGATTTGTAAAGCAAATGCATTGTCTATTATCTGTAGTAGTCAAAGCAATAATTGTCAGTTAAATTTTGTCATTGTCTCGGAAAATAAGTAAACTTCTTTTTACAGACTGCAGCAGTAAATTGAAGTGATTATTGAAAGTGGGTGTACCCACAAATTCTGAATTGCTTTAATTATGAACTTTAGAAGCTGCAATTATTTGTAACCGAACAAATAATAATATTAATTATTGAAGTCTACCGGTAATTTGAATTGTGCAAATGTGGTTCTTTGCAAAAAGTGTAAACTGGCAGGCCATGATGTACTTTTAACTTTAGTTTGTCATGTGTAATCTTAGCATTAAGTTCACAATCATTATCTGTTGTCCAATTTGGTTGGAGAAAATAAAATTTTTTTGTAAATGTGTATTATTCTTTCTTCTTTTTCCTATTTGTAATAATATCTCCTAATTCACAATATTTGATATCTTTTAACAATGTAAATTCGAGATTTGATAAGTTTTGCATGCATACACATACACACAATTAAAATATACAATAATGCATGATTAAATATTAATAAAGAACAAAATAACAAAACTAAACCTTTTGGTTTAGGAAATATATCTAAACCAGAAATAATAACTTTAAAATTTTGTAGTTTGACATCCCGCTTAACCAACTGACAACTAACTTAACCAAGAACATATTTTATTTAAATATAATTAATTAATAGGGAATAGAAACAAAGCTAGTTCTTTAATACATCCAAATAAGGTTTAATTCAACACTATGTGCTCTTTCCAAAAACTTTTATTGGGCTGCAGTTTAAAAAAATTGTAACCTATATTCCCACTGATTAAGAAATGCAATTTGATGTGGTAACTGTAGGACATTAATCCTATTATATTTTTACGGTTAAAGATCAAGGGGAGAGGAGTTAGGGCAATGTCATGTCATATCTCGAGAAATACTCTCACTAATCAGAAGCAGAGTTTCAAGATGATGATGGTAAAGTTTGCATGTTTAAACTATGGTTGGGGAGCTGCTGTTGTTGTAATCGCCTATTGTTTTCATTGTAGAGACAACTAGCTCTTGATAGGACTGCATTCTGATCATTCAATAGGCAAAATTGGCAACAGTTGCATTAGTACATGTGCATTTTTGAGATAGTACCATCAAATGTTGCCGGGAAAGTTAAGCAACTTGTTGCTGATTTTAAAAAGAAAAAATTGTAACAGTTGTCTGATTTTTACATAGAGAGGTGTGAATTAGGAATCTGTGGATTTCTTTGATAGACATTTATTGTGGCGGTAACCCAAGATAGGAGTGAATTGATCTTGTATGCTTTGATTTGTTATAATTTCCATCAGAGTTCACTTGTTAACAATTTTTCTCCCAATTTCCACACCATCAATATAGTTTTCAACAATGGAAACCGACTGCTCATTTATGGAGTTTTGTTGGTGTTATAAAATAAGCCAGTGGGATGATAAACCTTTTGTTTTTAATGTAGTGGCAAAATAATATATAATTAATTGCATAGGATGCTTTTATTATTGTATAGGTTTGTCATATTGAATATTCAAGTATATTTTGAAGATATTTTAAATTTAAAAAAGACTTGAATCAGTTTACAATATAACTCAATGTTTTCATAAACTATTTTGTATGAATCTATAAGCACTAAGTTTTTTGCTCTATGGAGGACTTTCATATTGTAACTTAAAGACAATAAGGCAAATCACCAAACAATCTATTTATTTTAAAATATTTTAATGAATTTAGCAATATATATTTCCTCAATAAAGCTTCTGAATTTTTATGTAGAAAATCATTAACCATATTAACAAAAGTGACCTTATACAGAAAATTCTCTTCTCCCCAACCATATTATCCAGTAACCATAGATACGTTTGGAAATTTAGAGGAAATAAAATGTTGTTTCCTCTAAATTTTTAAAATGTGTCCACCATTTTGTACTTCAAGAGAACTGTCGTAACTGCTTTGTCAGCGTGGTTACTTCGGTAAGTACTGAAGAACAACTGGTGACATCATAACCGTGATTTTTAAACAGGTTATTCTGGTTAATTTTGTAAATGCTCCAGTAATTACCAGCAACACTGGTTACAATCTCCAAACATGCCCGTGATTCTGGTACTTGTTTTATTGTGAATCCGCTGTATTTTGGCATCTGCCAGTCGGGAAAATTGGCGACACGAAATAACTTCAGAAAAACAGGGAAGCTTCTAGTGTATAGCACACCCAAACACTAGAGCAACCACCAAACTAATGGTTATCCATTTTATAGAGGTTTCGAGTCGACGTCCGATTATGTTTACTCGCGCTTTAGCCGAAGTTCTTGTGTTGTTTATTCATCGTGAATATCACTATGGTGAATTGTTGTAACACTAGTTCACCCAAGAACAAAGGAATGTCATTTTTTAAAATTTCCGGTATTATTTGTCATCGAGGACCCTAACTGAAGAGCTTTCGTAACGAAGGCTCTCGAGAATTAACCAGAAAAATTTCAATATGGATAAAGTGAGAGTTTGTCAGAAACACTTTATTTTAGGTAAGCAATAAATCAGGTTATCTAATTATTTGTTAATAACCAGTAAACTTTTGCATGAGTATCATAGTATGTACAAGCCGACTGCATAAATACTTTTGTTAATACTGACAAAATAATAATTTTAACTGCAGATTTTAGTTTGAATAGATGATGATTGTTTCATCTTTCAATTTTTCTTAGTCTCTGCTTGTAATTAATATTAAATTCTACTGTATATTTAAGTGTTAAGCAAAGATAATCACTTAGCAAATGAAGGATTACAAATGTATTTTGAGCAAATTGTCCTTCATGTTTAATTTACATAAATAAGTGCATGTATTTTTTAAGATGAACAATAGAAATTATCGATTTATATTTACAAATAGGTAAGTTGGGTTATTTTGGTTAACAACATTAACATTGTAAAAAGTAGCATCTTAAAGAAATGTTTTTTTACATTAGTAACATCTAACCATTACATAGGAACCTTCAGTTGTTCCTGACAAATTTTTATTTATATAATGTACTGTACATAAACATTATAAACATAACATACATAACTTTTTATATTAATTATTTATCATTATGGTAAGTTCTTTTTAATAATTTTTATTTTATCCAAAGGAAAACTTCCTCATTGTATTTATACAATGAGTCATCACCAGACTGGGTGCCATTATACATGGGGTATGAGTGGCCACAACCCAACTGCATATCAGGAGTGTTATGAAAAAGCATGTAATTGGGAGAAACAGCCACTTGTAAGATAGCTTACAAATCTGTAGCAGCCCATAACTTTCGTTTGTGAGAGAGTGGCAATTTGTTGTCAAAATCAAATAGTTTGTGTCCTAAAGCAGAATTTGGGGACAACTCTCGATCTGCAACGAAGATGCTGGCTTTGTATGGATAGACACCTTGATGTAATGAAACTTTTTCTTCGTATAAAGCAGCATCTCATCCTGTCAGACTGCAAATAACATGCCAGAAAAACATCTTTTTGAACTTACAATGTTATTTCACAGGTTGGTGGTGCTTTTTTCAATTTAAACTTAATAGAACTGCAATGTTTTTACAAAGCAAGTGGAACTAGATCACAAACATACATTTTATCATGTGACACGTAACTCGAAACCCCTCTGACCTTATATTAAGGATACACGACTATGGGCTAAAACATGCGTCAAGTGCCAAATACAAGATACAGAATATACAAGGTGTACTTGTATATTCTGTCTTAGGCCAAATGGTTTCCAACATGGCATTTCATATATTAACCCAGACCCACTTTTGTTGTGAGGGTTCCAATACTGTGTGATTACGATTGACAGATTCAGACACCGGATGAAAAGTTTACCAATCCGAGATATTACGGTGGAAGTGGTCACTCGAGCATTTTACGGTAACTGGACTGCACGTTTTGGTACCGCAAAAAATTATTACTGATCAGTGATGGGACTATACCAAATTTTCTCCCGAATCTTTTGAATACAGCACTTTCCAAAGTGTATTTTAGTTCAGTAAAATTAACGATTTGCATTACGCGTACAGTACATTAATTAACTCCTCTATTCCTCAAATTTATTTACACACATTTGTTACACCCTGTATATACAGAATAGATTGCTGGTCAAGCCAGCTGGATGGCAACTCTAATTAGTCACTCTATCTCCCCTAAAATGGGAACAGAGCATGGTTACTAGATTAAATTAACCATAGATATTAGATAAACAATTCTTCCACATTTTATAATTATTTGTATCATTTGAAGATAATTTAATATTGTAATTTAAAGATTTTTTTTAAGAAAATTGAATCAAGAAAATCTTGGTCAGAGACTTAGATTAATTTTCCCTTCACTTCTACTGATCACAATTGCTCCAATCCATGCCAAGACTAGTGGTTGTTGTTCATATACATACTGTGGCTTTCCAACCGAAAGCAAACAGGCTTGTTGAAAGCATTTGCCAAATGAGTGTTCTAAAAGCTTGTTTAATTCTATTGTTCTAGTGTTCTATTGTTGGGTCAAGGTACTACAGAGGTGCTTTTGAAGCTATGTACTGTACAGCAGTGAAAGATATCAAAACCTCGACTGTAGAGTTAGTGTATGGGACATTACTTAGATTGACGAGAGCATTTTTCCCGACGTCTTCCGACATTAGTGCAGTATTTCAGTGCTTTGTTTTCATTTTCTTAGTGACATCATTTTGGATTTGAAGCCTCCAACGGACACGATCGTAGTCTCGTTGAATCACTATCACAGTTAACTCAACATTGCAATATAAAATATACTAAGTGCCAAAAGAAAAATTCTCTTATCGATCAATGCCTATGATAGTCCCAATATTTTCATACTGGTAAATTGTCCCTTCTTCCAATGTACTTCAACCATACCACAAAAGTTAGGAGTGGAAATGAGTACTATACAAAAAGTACACCTTGTTATATTCACTGAAAACCTGACAAGAAATATTTCTTACTCAATGTGTGCTGCGACACTCCAGTTGTGTTCTGATAGTTTGGTGGTTTTTGTCTTGTAAACAAAAAGCAGCTTTTGAAGAAAAGAGAGACAGAGGCAATTTGATGATCGGCAAAATTAGGAAACCAAATTTGCAAATGAAATTTTTGAGCTACGAAAGAAACAAAAGTTAACCCAACACAATAGAGATACTTGAAAAATCAAATTAAAGCTTACGAAAACACCAAGAAAAAAAGAGAAAATAAAAGTGCATATTTTATTTTTTTAAATACAGATATTTTAGTATCATCAAAACATTATGGGTCAGGGAAAATTGTGAAGGTGACCAAATTTAAAGTTTCCGAATTTTGTAGACACCCTGGTACACTCTTTTCCTATTTACATAACTTAACTCTCTGCTTTCTGTTTCTAATTGTAAAATTTCTATTTTACAGAATGAGAATGTTTTGATTGAAAAAGGTGGCAGTGCCAGTGGAGTGCCCCTATTCCTGCATTTTTGGAACCATCCAGAATTTGAAGGGTTTCTTTGGGTGCAGTCCAAGGACAAGTGGCTCAAAATGAGTGTCTGACAAACCAACTCGTTCAGTATCAGAAGAGGTGGCAACGTATGACGTTCATCCCTTAAGCATTTATGGCATGTCTTCCTTGACCTGTCTTCTCTTGTTGTGAACATTTCTTTGAGTTCTGCCTCTATTGTCTTCTGGATTTTTGCATATGACTGTGCTGTTTTCTGAAAGTCACAGCAGTAATGAATTGGAGAAGAGATCAACCAAAATTGGGCTGCTGCAGTTTTCCTTGATGTATAATATAAGGATACAAAAAGGATTGCTACCTGTTACATTCTTACTGGATTGGCTTTCTTTTCATCAGAGTAGACACCATTACCCAGAGACAACCAATTTACCTCCATTTGATAATCTACCTTCCTGAATGTGTGTTTAATATTGAGCTGTAGATTTCAACAGTATTATAAAAGGTGCGAGACCTGACCTCTAATATAGAGAGGGTGATTGGTTAATGAACACATGTTCGAATAACAACAAACAAACACAGTACAAACACAAGAAGCGACGTAAAATAATGAATACTGATTTGTCTTCCCTTGTCTCCAGGCAACAATTCAAAATTTTTCGGAGTGCGGGAGATGTTGACATCAACATCAACGCTCGATCCAGTATATACCGATCGGAGAGTATTTCTTCGAACTTTGAAGCTCTCCCTTGTAATTCCAGCCTGTTATTTTTCTGATAGAAACTATTTTTTTATAGTATTCACAAAACTGTCAGGTGGGCACTCGTTAAGTTTTGCGTCGGTTTTTATTTTCAAAAGGTGGGAGTATAATAGCAAAGGTTGAGAGTGGGCAGAAGATGTCTGATGTTGCTGGGCAGTATGGCTCAAACGGGTCTACAGTAGGTTGGCAGTTCAATCTTATCTAAGAAAGATACAGTATAATCAAGAAGACTCAAGCAACTTAAGGAGTATAAAAAATCACATCTGAGAAATAAAGAACATCGAAGAGCTCATAATGGAACCTAAAATGGATCTGACGACAGAATAACACTAAGAACTCTTGAATGAAGAACACCAAGAAACTTGCCAAGATATGTTTTCTTCTGAAAAAGAGGATTAAAGCCAATATCTGCTATGAAAGATCTTTTGAAGTGGGAGGATGTCAGAACAACAGTTATAGAATAGCAACCAAACCAGGTTGAGGTTAATAGGTTGATGTATACAATTACAATGCTATTAATTACTTCTGAAAAATGCTAAGAAGGGAGAAAAGCAATCGACATTGGACAGATTCTTTACCCCCCACAAACTGTGTATATATGTCATGTTTTTTCAGTCTTGCATTTTTATTATTACATATATACTTTCTTACTACGTTTATTTTTATATTTTGGGATCTCCAGAACAAATTAATCAAATTCCCATAAAAACCTATGGTTAATCAATAATCAGTTAACGAAGAATTTGGATAGCAAACAAAGTCTTGGAACTGATTATGTTCGTTAGACAATTACAGTGGGTGATCGGTTAAGAAAGGTAAAGGATATCTTAATAAAGTACCTTCTTATCATGTTTGATGAGTGTGTCAATTCTATGATATTCATTATAGAAGTGAAAGTAGGTCAAATAAGGAGTTAACACTATTAATACGAAATAGTGACAAACCTCAAAATGGAAAACGTGTGGTTGACGATGATGATAAGGAAAAACCTCTGTGAGGAAGAGTACTTATTGGGCATTCCCATCAAAACCACTGACATCCAGTTGGTAGTGATAAAAGGCCATTCTGGGTAAATAATAATTTAAGATTTAATATAATCAAAGTACGAGTTGGGGCTTGATCTACCTACTCCAGCCCTGTAGTTTTCTATAGTGAATAAGAACTAATACGTGCCAAAATAAATGATTCTTGGATGTTACTTAGAAGCCTAGTGTTAACTCAAAGGCTAATAAATTTCTATTAGTGGGAAATTAAGTGGAAACATTTGTGTTGATCAGTGTCATCTGTTCTAGGCGATGTTTTTAGTGATCTCTGGAAAGAATATCAAATTTACTATACCTAAGCAATCTTTAAACATTGTGAAATAATGAAAAGCTTTCAAATGAAGTGGTAACTGAAATAAAATCAACTGATAACCCATGGATTGAAGTATTTAAAAGTTTAAAAAATAATAATTTGCTTCCTCTCAATTTAGAATGTAGAAAAATAAGCAATTCTTGAGATTTTCTGATCAGCTAACGAAGCTAATAAATAACCACATTTTTTGAGAGAATGGATTTAATTTTTATACTGCAACCAGTCATTAGTATTAAAGACTTGACGTAAAAGTCAAGTTTTCTAGAATTGATCTGCCACCTAAGACCTGACTTTATAGCAAACAAAAGTGTTTAGTGAACTTATTCTACAGTTTATATTGTTTTGTAATGAAATTCTTCCTTTAAAAATGACTAACAAAGAGCAGTTAAAAGAAAACAATGATTTGGGCAGTCCAATCCTTTTGTAATGTTAATGGATGCAAATTTTTATTACTTTAAATATTGTGAATTTCCTGTGTGCTGTACACTCTAGTTTCTATATTGAATAATACTCCTTACTTATACAAATCTTCCATTAATTTAAAAAAATTTATTTACTACAAACTTCAAAACATCAAATACAGCCAATGACAAATAGTCATTACTTTAAAAAAGAGACGGGGTCGGGAAAATTATATATATATATAAATATCTGTATATAAATAATTCGCCATTTTTGCGTAACCGTTTTCAAATCTCCAAATCGTATCGACCGTGGCCAGTTGCCGAAACTCTCGTAATTCAGTCGTTTCCGTCCTTAGTTTACAAAATTGGGAAAAAAGTCAATTCTAGATTTGTACTTGATATTTTAAAACTGATATGATTTCTATTTAGGAATTCCTCATGAAAGAGAGAAAACAAAATGCATATTTTTTGTTCTGTTCATCTTACTCAGTCGAGTATAAAGAAGAAAATATGTTAGACTTTGTTCTGATATTTAGCTAATTGAAGCGTAAAGATATATTTTTTGAATATGACTGTGTGTATTTTTATACTGGGTACCAAATAAGAGCTTCGGCAATAGAAGATAAAAAGAGAAATCACTGCTGGGTCGGAAACCGAAAGAATATGTTCCGATCCGAAACTGACATTAACATCTAGATAACAACATTATGGGACGTATGTAGACGACAAACCGAAAATGGCATCTTACCGACGAATGCAAAATCAAAATCATCTGTTATCGTTAGAATTTTGGAATGTTTCTTCGTCCAATTTCGTGTTAAATCCCGCTACCGAACATTTGGTTATCTTTAGTCTCTCGTATAATTTTTGATCCTAATAGAAAAATTTCCATTAAAAGTGACATTAAAATAACCTGTACGTACAAGTAAATTGTATTACCTTGGCTGTTATCGAGGGTCTAATCTTCTTCAATGCTGCATCAAAGTGATGTCGTGACACCTTGAGCTGTATGTCTTTTATATCCATGCTAGTTGCAAGCTGAAGATATTCCTTGAAGGCAACCAGAGATGCTTCGCGAACAAGAGACGAGAGATCGGCACCACTGCCAAAATAGAAATATAAGTAACAAAATGCTATTTCTGTCGAGTGATTGGGTAAATTTACTTACGTGAAACCGGTACAAAGACCACTGTTCCCGATTTCGACTATATTTACGTCGTCATTTAGGAGAGGCCTCGTGCCGTTCTATTGAGTAAAAATTAAACAATTTAATTTCCACATTCCAAATGAAAATTCAATGATAAACAAATTTTATTAACTTTAGTTATAGTTTTCAAGATTTCCACCCGATCCGATGCTGTAGGAAGACCGACGAATAATATTTTATCTAATCTTCCCGGACGAAGCATGGCAGGATCTAGAATGTCCGGTCTGTTCGTAGCTCCCATAATGAAGACGTTTTTTCTACTCTCCAGTCCGTCCATTTCCGTAAGCATTTGGTTAACCACTCGTGCAGTCGCCCCACCCTAAAAGAAAATTAAAATTGTGAACTGCAATCCAATTTTGATTCAAAATGTTATTAAATTGATCTTTGTACCTCGGCAGTATCTGATCTTCTGGGGCAGAGTGCATCTATCTCGTCAAAGAATATAATGCACGGGGCAGAGTTGCTGGCTCTCTGGAAACATTGCCGAACGGCTCTCTCGCTTTCTCCAACATACTAATAATCAGATATTTAAGAAGTTAAAATCGTTTCTCAGTCCAAACATACAAATATATGGGAATTAAATTTACCATATTCAGCAGTTCGGGTCCTTTGACAGAAATAAAATTAATGCCAGATTCATTTGCAATGGCCTGAATGGATTAAAAAAAACTTTAAATGTCAAGCAATGTTTGTATTAATAATCAAACCTTGATTTAATTTAAATAATAACCTTTGCCAATAGAGTTTTACCGCATCCCGGAGGACCACAGAGAAGTATTCCCACAGGGTTTGTCAGTCCAAGACATTCGCACT